CTTGAGAACAGATGAATTAGCAGCAATGTTTGTACTTCACGCAATAACTCATGGTTGTTATACCATGGTAACTCAAATGTGAACAATGTTGCTGGGGGAGTGGTGTTATTTAACCAAACCATGACTTAGTCAGTTTGGGCTGGGTGGCTTAAACAACAATCATTTATTGTTCTAGAAGCTGTGACGTCCAAGATCAAGGTCCTGGAGGTCTGATGCTTGAGGAAAGCCATCTTTCTGGTGTGCAGGCAGCTGTCTTCTCATATATCACATGGCAGAGAGCAGAGAGAGAGAGGAAGACAGTCTTCTTGTGTCTCTTATTATAAGGGCATTGACATCAAGAGGACCCGCCCTCATGACCTATGACCTCATGATCCAAATTCCCCCATCTCAACATACTATCACTTTGGGGATTCAAGCTTCAACATATGAATTTTGGGGGACACAAATATTCAGTTCCTAGCACCACGGTAACTGAAATTTGTGAAAATAAAAATTTTACAACATAGGCACATACACAACACACATACACGCACATAATCAATCAATGAATCATAACCTGGTTTTCTATTTCAGTTATTCCTTTGCCTTCTTCAGGTTTTACTTATTTATTTTTTTGCTTCAACTTTTTTCCTATTCTTTCTGCTCAGATGCTTTTCTCATTCTCTGTCTCTTCATTTTCTTATAAAATTATGACTGCTTCCTTTATAACTATAGGAGAAGACCTAGGAAGACTTTCTGGGGAAACCTAGAAAAGCTTCAGCAAGCTCCCCATTGCTTTCGGTTAAGAGCTAGATGGGCAGTTCTCCAGCCAGTTATCGCAAAGACATTTTTGGGGTGTAGTTGATTGGTGGGGGTGGCCATTTTTGTTCAGATACAATGAGCTTGCTTTCTATTGTCATTTGTGGGTATCTTGTGCTTATCAGAAAAAATCGGTACTCAGTAAGTTGAGGAACTCAATTCAGGGGGGCACTCCTTAAATAATTTTAAGGTTTAGGTGCAGTAAAAGTTTATGGTACATTGAATGCAAAGTAGCCCTTATTCTCCACCCATCTTTGTGTCCACCTCTTTGCCAATGACTTTCCAGCTGCTCCTACAGTACTTGTATCTGGGCTGGCCTTGAGACTTGGCCTTTGCCAATTAAATGAGATAGAAATGACAATGTGCCAGTGCCTGCCTGATTCTGCTCTGTCTTGGCCTCCCCACACAGGAAGGACCTTGGCTAGCCCCGGGGACATTGAGAGACCATATAGAGAAAAGTTCAGTTGTCCCAAGTGAAGCCACCCTAGATCAGCCTACAGCCAGATGACCCCCATGTATGTGAGAACGTCTAACCAAGATCAGCAGAGCTACCAGCCTGATTACAAGTGCTTGACTGAGCCCAGCTGAGACTACAGAAGGGGATCCACTGACCCACAGATTTGTGAGGATAATTATAGCACGTTAGGGCTTTTTAAATTCAGCAATAGCCAAATTATACTATGTTGTTTATGGAGGCAATGCTTTTTTGTTAACCGCAGCTCTTGCTGTAATCTACAAAAGTGCCCCTTGTTTTGTCTCAAGAGTAGATAGCTGGCTAACCCCAAGCCAATTCTCCCACCCTAATTTAAATAGACCTCTTAGGGAAACATCAGTGTTGGGGCTGCTGAACTGTCCAATCAGAAAGGGCAGGGACTGTGTCTGTCTTTCTAGCCACTGTTTAATTGGCACATTGCCAAGTATCTGGTGTGCAAAACTAGTCAGTAAATATTTGCTGAATGAAAGAAGGCTGAAGGGCCTTCTTGAGTAGGAGCAATACCTCCAGAGAAGCCTGATTAATACTCAATGTGTCTCACTAGTTTGGAAAGATTTTTCTTTCTTTTTCTAATATTGATTTAAAAATATATCTTTTTTTCCTCTTGAGAAGAGAACAATTTTTCCTCTTTTGTACAAGTGATAGTGTTTCAGGGCAAAGTGAAGAATGGACCCACATGTATAAATGCTATTAATAATATGAAGATAAACAGGACACAGGATGGTGTTTGTTAGGATCAGCCTTGTTGAGGATGGCATCTTCGAGATGTGAACTTTGCGTTTTCAGCTGAATGCTAAAGGTAGTTGTATGTCCACTCCTGTATATTTTCTTATTTGGAGCTCCTTGTGAGCAAGGCCACAGATTTGAAAATACCAGTCTGAGTTTAGAATTTAGATCCTGTAATCCATGGCTCACAAAGCTTGGTTGGGTGGGGGGGAGACGTATTTTTCTTATTAAACCTCGACCATGTCCCAAGGTTTATCAGCCTAAGAACCAGCTATAATCTAAAGTAAAGGGGATAGTGAAGCAGAATATAAATACTCTTATTTTTTTCTTTTTATAAGAAAATCACTCACTTAAGATCTGGAAGAAATGTCCTTAATTGAAATTTAAAAGAATCCAAGGTCACAAACTTCATTTCAAAGCCCATGTCTGGCAAATAGTGAAAAGATTTGTGTTTCTAAGGCATAAATAGAACCATTTGGTATATGTCCAGGGAAACTTTTTCAAACATGCAATCAAAATTTAATAAATGGTGCCCTAGAGGCAAGAACAAGATCATTTACATCCATTCTTTAGTACCTTTCTTACCCAGAGGACAGATTCTGTAGTAGATCATACACCTGCTCGGGGTCCCAGATAGTTTCAGGGGCTTCTGATTTGCAAATAAAGAGGTTGCTAAGATCCCAGGATGGTCCATGGGATATAGCTGCCCAACGAACTGGTCTAATGTCAACCATTGTGATCCCTTTGCAAACATTCTCCAGTCACTCTGACAATGCGACTTGCATCACACAAGTGTTCTTTACTCGTCTACTCCAAGAAAGGATTTACCAAAAAAAAAAATCAAACTTAATTTTTTAAATTTTTTAAATTTTATTTGAAAAATACAATACACAGCAGAGAATTATGTCCTCCCCTACTGCTTTTTCACAAAGGAAACTGTATGGTAAATGTAACTGTGATATTTGGCTAGGATAGATCCTGAGAAAAGAGAGGCCCAGTTAGAAGTGGAAAAGACCAAGTCTGTCAAAGAAGGTTCACCTCTCTTTTAACATAAAAGAGCCTTTTAAATAATCTTAGGAATCAGATAAAACATGTGCAGAATTTCTGCCATGCAAACAGAGACTACTAAAATTTTCACGCTGATCAATTTAGACTGACCTGGGCCCCGAGTAAGTAGAATAAAAAGATGTCTTTATCAGAAAAGTAGGTGTTTGCCTGCTTTTACTAGACTATATATGTACATATTTACAGATTCATATTTTCTTAAACGTGTTTTTCATTATTTGTAGTTATAGCATCATAGTTCAGGGCTCTTTGCTGGCTTTTTGCCTTATGCATGTGTATCTTTTTATTCTTCTGAATTTCTGTCCTGGCAGGGTCATTCAATACACAATCTTGGGCCCATGACATTTAATATTAGAGATGACCTTACTCTGATCCTGGATAAAATCTGGATTTCTGAGGAATGTATATAACTCCTGCATTTGGACCTGGTTTAACAAGGTGCAAAGACACAACATTTACACATGAATATATAGCTAAGGCTTCCAACAGGAAAAACATTCCAAATTGGCACCTTGGAATACTGATTCTAGAACCTTTAAACTGATTTAACTTCCGAAGTCTTACTGGTAATCCTGCCTCCAAAGACATTATAATCATCCTTTTCACTTCCATTCCTTGTAAGTGAACTCCCTATTATTGTTATTGCCTAAAAAGATCATTAAAGAGGATCAAGGCATTCTAACCTTCCTCGTTTTAAATTTCCAACAGAGTTGAATTGCTATAGAAGTCTGAATTTGGTAGAAATATGGATTTTCTGCTTTTGGCCCTACAAAAAGTGTTTTAACTCCCATAGTGATGGAAAAGAGCAAGTAAAATCTATTTGGGGAATAATGAACAAGTCTTTGGTTATATTCATTTGCTGATTTCTGTTGAAATTACAGAGAAAATTTAAAGTTTCTTTTTTTTTTATTACTGTCAAGGTGAGGAAGATTCATTTCAGTCAATTAACTACTGCTCATATAAGACAAAGCTACTCAGGGTGGCTGTAAAAATTGTGACATTATGGTAGAAGAGTACATTTAATGGTGTAATCATAGCCCAGTTCATCTTCCTTATATTGACATGGTTTCATCCTTAATTTCACATGCTCAGTGTGAGGTACGTCCTTTGGGGCCTCTCCTGAGGGGTGGGGTATAGAGCATTGGGGTGAGGGTTGCAGGAGAGATACCTGATTTAGGTTTCCACTTTACAAAGACCTCACATCTAGACTCTTGACATTATTTTTAAAGAAAATTAAAAATAGGTTACTATATCATTGCATATTTGAAAAGTGTTCCTTCTTAAAACATAAATATTTAAAATACAACATAGCTCTTATAATTCTATTTTGGTATTTCTTCATTTTTTTTAAAACCATAGGTAGTTGTCCAGGACTCTCCTGACCTCTGAAAGGTTTCAGTGTGTCCAAAATGATATGATAGCTGTGGTGTATTAGAAAACAATACTGGTTCAGGGTCAAAACACCTGAATTTAAATTTTAACTGCCTCCTACTAGTTGTATGGAATTGGGCATATTATTTACCTTGCCTTGGCTTTATTTTTCTCATTTATAAACTAAAGCCATTTTCAATGATTGCACTGGGTTACTGTAAGGATTAAGTAAAATTATAAATGAAAATGTACCTTGTAAACTATAAAACTATACAAATGCAAAGTAAAATGCGTTAACCACATTTCTGGCATTTGTAGATTTTTAACTTATGTGTCAGAGTGTGGTTCTTTCCTGTTTAAATTATGTGGAATCTTGACTAGTAAAAAGCCTAAGAATGGAGCCTTCCCCCCTTGAGAGACTTTTATCAGTGGAAAATTGCTCAATACATAGGCACCATTGCTAGATTTTGTCTTAAAATATCCTAAGCACTACCTGCATTTAAAAGCTACAAGTCAACAATTAAACCACAATTGTCAGGAACAAAAGTCCAAATAAATAATTTTTAATTATGATACATTACTTATTACAGTAAAAATTGGCATTTTCCCCCTTCAAAAGCAGAAGCACCAGTCTTAGAATGTATAGTATGAATGGTATTTTAAGTGAAATATAGTATAATATTATGTGCAAACATTATTTTAGTATAGAACATACTTTCTAAAAGTAAAGTAATTTCACACACTGATCTCTGTTAGAATGGAAATAATGTCATGCTGAATAATAACATAAAACCCCCATGACTTTCAAAGTCCGCTTCAAATGAAATGTGATATACTGCTGAATAGATCTATGAAAAATTAAAAAGCTTAACTAGGCCCAGATGGAGGGATTTCTTATACAAGATGACTTGTGTAAAGTTTCCTTTTCACATAGTATCGGTGATTCTGTGAGAAACTAACGTGAATGTTTTATTTACGAATTAATCTTTTCATTGGGTCGTCACATTTTATTTAACACCTACTTTGTGCGAGGTTTTGTTGTAGGTGCTGGGGATACAGAGAAGAAAGACACAGTCCTGCCCTTGAGGAGCTCACAGTCTAGTGGGGGAAACAGATAAGTTGACACTGATTTTAAAATTATAAAAATTATTAGACAACTTTATAAACTTCTGTTGTAATCAAACAAACTTTGGGGGTTATGAGCGGGTGGTGAAAAGGGACGATGTCCAATGCAGTGACAAACCATCTGTTTCAGTATCATGTGACTTCTGCAAAGGCGGTGATATGGTTCTGAAAAAGAGAAAGGAATTAAAATATCAGAGTCCTGGGAAAATTGGCTTTGGGAGGTATTTAGTACTTTTACAAATGATCATTAGCTTAATAGAAATCTGTAGCCCATCTGTGTTTAAGTTGCAGAAAATACACTTAAGTTCTATGTATTATTATATACATTTAACTGCTAATTATATATTTTATTCAATATTCTTAATTCACCAAATAGATTAAGGTGTAATATTCACAATTAACACTGAAATTTGGAGAGATGAAAATGGCAATCCCACACACGTTAATATTCTGCTCACTGTTGTTAATGGAATTTTAATGCTGCGTGTTAGAGGTTCAGATTAATTGTTCCCTGTGAGACAGATGGCATAAAACAACTTGGTGAAATGCTCAGACTGAAAAGCATTTGCTGGTTAACAAAGATCTCCTAGAACACTTCATTTGTTTCTGGTTTTATTGAGAAATAATTGACATACATCACTGTATAAGTTTAAGGCATACAGCATGGTGGTTTGATTTACATGTTATGAGATGATGACCACAATAGGTTTACTTAACATCTATCTTCTGGTATAGATACAACTAAAAGAAAGAAAAAAAGGGGGAAAAAATTTCCCTTGTGCTGAGAATTCTTCAGGTTTACTCTGTAAAGAACTTCCCTATAGCTACTTAGTTACTTCAGAGCTGGAAGTTTGTATCTCTTTGACCACCTTCTTCCAATCCCCCCTCCCCACACTCTTCACATCGGATAACCCAAATCTGATCCTTTTTTTTCTTTTTTTTCTGTGCATGAGTCTAGGGTTTTTGTTTTTGTTTTTAGAATCTACATATAATTGAGGGCACCTGGGTGGCTCAGTTGTTAAGCATCTGCCTTCGGCTCAGGTTGTGATCCCAGGGTCCTGGGATCGAGTCCCGCATCAGGTTCCCTGCTCCGTGGGAAGCCTGCTTCTCCCTCTCCCACTCCCCCTGCTTGTGTTCCCTCTCTTGCTGTGTCTCTGTCAAATAAATAAATAAAATCTTTAAAAAAAAAAAAAGAGTCTACATATAATTGAGATCATATGATATTTCTCTTTCCCTATCTGACTTATTTCATTTAGCATAATGCCTTCAAGGTCCTTCCATGTTGTCACAAATGGTAGGATTTCTTCATTTTTATGCTGAATAATATTCCAGTGTGTGTGTGTGTGTGTGTGTGTGTGTGTGTATACCACAGCTTCTTTATACAACCATCCATCAGTGGACACTTAGGTTGTTTCCATGTCTTGGCTATTGTAAATAATGTTGCTATCAACATGAGGTACAGAGACCTTTTTGAGTTAGTGTTTTTGTTTCCTTTGGATATATTCTTAAAAGGGAATTGGTGGATCACATGATAGTTCTATTTTTAATTTTTTGAGGATTCTCCATACTGTTTTCCATAAAGGCTGCAACAATTTACAATCCTACCCATAGTGCACAAGAGGTCTCTTTTCTCCACATGCACGCCAGCATCTGTTATGTCTTGTCTTTTTGATGTTGGCCATTCCAACAGGCATGACGTGATATCTCATTGTGGTTTTAATTTGCATCTCCCTAATGACCAGCGATGTTGAGCATCTTTTCCTATACCTATTGGCCTTTCATATATCTTCTTTGGAGAAATGTCTATTCATGTCCTTTGCCCATTTTTAAATTAGGTTATTTGTGTTTTGCTATTAAGTTGTATGAGTTCTTTACATATATTGGATATTAACCTCTTATCAGATATATGGTTTGAAAATATTTTTTTCCAATTCCATAGGTTGTTTTTCACCTTGTTGATGGTTCCTTTTGCTGTGCAGAAGCTTTTTAGTTTGATGTAGTCCCACTTACTTATTTTTGATTTTGTTGCTGATATATTTTGTTGCTGTGTCATATTAAAAAAATCATTACCAAGACCCCTCAAGGAGCTTTATTCCTATGTTTTCTTCTAGGATTTTCATGGCTTCAGGCCTTACATTTAAGTATTTAATCCATTTTGAGTTAATTTTTGTAAGTGGTATAAATATAGGCCCAGTTTCATTCTTTTACACGCAAATATCCAATTACAGCAACATCATTTATTAAAAAAAAAAACATAAAACTGTCTTTTCTCCATTGAGTATTCCTGGCTCCCTTGTCAAATATTAGTTGACTGAATATGCTTGGGTTTATTTCTCAGCTCTTGATTCTGTTCTTTCAGTCTATTTGTCTGTCTTTATGCCAGGACCATACAGTTTTGATAACTATTGCTTTATAGTATAGCATCAGGATGTATGATGCCTCATGTTTTCTTCTTCTTTCTCAGGATTTCTTTGGCTATTTGGGGTCTTTGTGATTCCATATACATTTTACGAGTGTTTTTATTTATTTATTTTTTAGGTCTGTAAAAAATGCCTTTGGAATCTTGATAGGGGTTCTATTGAATCTAAACTCATTGTTTTGATCTAACAGTTTTTGGTTGCATCTTTAGGGTTTTCTCTATATAAAATCATGTCATCTGCAAAGATAGTCAATTTTACTACTTCTTCCTTTCTAATTCTGATACCTTTTATTTCTTTTTCTTGCCTAATTGCTTTAGCTAGGACTTCCAAGGACCATGCGGAATGGGAGCGGTGAGAGTGGGCATCCATGTCGTGTTCCTGATCTTAGAGAAAGTGTTCAACCTTTCACCATTGAGTATGATGTTAGCTGTGGGCTTGGCATATATGGCCTTTATTATGTTGAGATATGTTCCTTCTATGCCTAATGCGTTACGAGTTTTATCATGAAGGGATGTTGAATTTTGTCAAATGTTTTTCTGTGTCTATTAAAATGATCATATGATTCTTTTCTTTCATTCTATTAATGTGATGTATCACACTGATTGATTCGCATATGTTGAACCATCCTTGCATCCCAGGGATAAATCCCACTTGTTCATGGTGAATGATCCTTTTAATGCACTGCTGAATTTGGTTTGCTAGGACAAGCATACCTAAGGTGCTTCACCTTAGAGGTGAAGGTTTGGTTCCAGACAACCACAACAAAACAAATACCACCATAAAGCAAGTTAAATGATGCTTTTGGTTTCCCAGTACATATAAAAGTTATATTTATACTACATTGTAGTCTATCAAGTGTGCAATAGCATTATGTCTAAAAAAAACAATGCACATACCTTAATTAAGAAATACTTTATTGTCAAAAATGCCATCATCTGAGCTTTCAGTGAGTCATAATCATGACTACAGATCACCATAACAAATATAATCATAATGAAAAAGTTTGGAATACTGTGAGAATTTTCAAAATGTGAGACAGAGACATGAAGTTAGCAAATGCTGTTGGAAAAACAACTCTGATAGACTTGCTTGATGCAGGGTTGCCACAAACCTTTAATTTATAAAAATCACAGTATCTGTGAACTGCAGTAAAGAGAAGCACAATAAAATGAGGTAAGCCTGTGGTTTATTGAGAATTTTAGCACGTATAGACATCAGGGATATTGGCCTTTTTGTTTTCTAGCAAATCTTTTTTTTTTTTTAATTTTAGTATCAGGGTAATGTTCACCTTATAAAACGAGTTTGAAACTGTTTCCTTCTCTTTGATGTTCTGGAAGAATTTGAGGATTGGTGTTAATTCTTTAAATGTGTGGTAAAATTCACCCGTGAAACCATCTGGTCCTGGGCTTTTCACCATTGGGAGATTTTTGATTACTGATTCAATCTCCTTACAAATAACTGGTCTGTTCAGATTCTCTATTTTTCCCTGATTCAGTCTTAGTAAGTTGGCATATAGCTATTCACAGTAGCTCTTATGATTCTTTAAGTTTCTGTGGTATCTATTGTAATGTCTTCATTTATAATTTTGTTCATTTGAGTCCTTTCTCTTTTTTCCTTAGTTAGTTTAGCTAAGGGTTGTCACTTTTGTTTATCTTTTCAAAGAACCAACTCTTAATCTGGCTAGTATTTTCTATTTTTTTCCCTGTTCTTTATTTCATTTATTTCTGCTCTGATCTTTATTATTTCCAATCTTCTGTAACTTTGGGCTCAGTTCGTTCTTCTTTTTCTCCTTCTTTAAAGTGAGAGTTAGGTTGTTTATTTGGGATTTTTCTTGTCTCTTAATGTAGGCATTTATTGCTGTGAACTTCCCTCTAAGAACTGCTTTTGCTGCATCCCACAAGTTCTGGTATGTTGCATTTCCATTTTCTTTTGTCTCAAGAAATTTTTTACTTCTTTAACTTCTTCTTTGATCCATTGGTTGTTCTGGGAAGTGTTATTTAATTTCCATGTGTTCATGAATTCCAGTTTTCTTCTTGTTATTGATTTCTGGTTACATGCCATTGTGGTCAAAGAACTTGGTATGATTTCAACCTTCTTGAATTTGCTAAGACTTGTTTTGTGGTCAAGCATATAGTCTGCCCTAGAAAATGTTCCATGTGTGCTTGACAAGAGTGTGCATCTTGCTGTTGTAAGACAAAATGCTCTATATGTATCTGTGAGGTCCTTTTGGTCTACAGTATTACAATCTGCTATTTCCTTATTGATTCTGTCTGGAAGACCTATCCATTGTTGAGAGGGGAGTATTAAAGTCCCCAAATATTATTGTATTGCTGTTTATTTCTACTTTTAGCTCTGTTAGTTTTTGCTTTATATATTTAGGTGCTTCAAATATAAATACTTGTAATTGTTATATCTTATTGATGTATTGACCCCTTTATTGTTATATAATGACCTTGTCTCTTTTTACCATTTTTAGCATAAAGTCTATTTTGTCTGATATAAGCAGAGCTACCTCTGCTCTTTTTACCATTTGCTTGAAATGTCTTTTCCCACCCTTTCACTCTCAGTCTATGAATGTCTTTAAGGCTAAAGTGAATCTCTTATAGGCAGCATCTATTTGGATCTATTTTTTAAAAAAATCCACACAGCCATTCTATGTCTTTTAATTGTAGAACGTAATCCATTTATTTTTAAAGTAATTGTTGATAGGTAAAAACTTACTATTGCCATTTTGTTGTTGTTGTT